CAGCCTTCCAAGTAGCTGGAACTACAGTCATGCTACCATGCCCGGCTAATTTTTGATTTACTGTAGAGATGAGGTCTCGCCAGGTTGCCCAGGTAGGTCACGAATTTTTTCTTTTTAATTGTAGAGATAAGATCTTGCCTAGGCTGGTCTCAAACCCATGGGCTCAGGCAATTTACTCACCTCAGTCTCCCAAAGTGCTGGAATTACAGGCTGAGTCACCAAACCCAGCCATCATTGGACTTTTTAATCTTCATAAGTACTGATAACATCTTCCATTTTGAAGATGAGGCAAATTCATTTCTGAGGGTTCACAAGGTAAGGCCAAGGGCACCCAATCAGTCAGCAATGGGACTGGAATTCCAATCAGGTCTGTCTGGTGTCTTCTGGGAGGCAAAGGCTTACAGGCTCCAAGCCCAGGGAACAATTGGGGGCTGCATAGGGAAATGTTTTCCTCGTTCAGGGCTCAGGGCCCAGGTCACCACGAGAGGCTCTACGTTGGCTCCTATGGCTTGGCCCTGTCCATATCCTCACAGGACACATTCAAAGACCCAGTTTCAGAGAAAGGGCTAGGTAGAGGGGTTGTAGAGTGATCGATGACTCTACTGATCTGCCAACAGCCCCATTTGGGTGTGACGTTCAGCTCAAAGGAGTGTGCCAGGATGGCTGACACGCTTGGTCTAGCATCCAAGCCAAACACTATGAGGAAAGGGCTCAGCTCAGCCAAGACTACAGCAGGACAGGGTTTCTGTGCTGGGATTTCAGCCATGCCTTCGCCTTGGTGTTTTCTCAGGATGTGTGAACCTCTTTTTCTCCATAACTTCTGTGAGTTTTGGTAACAAAGCATGCTGGGGCTTCCACAGGTAGCCCAGAGCTACACGGGAAGGTGTTGAGAAGCGTGAGATGGAACAACTGACTTAGCTGGTCCCTTCAAAAGGGGGAAGGACATGGCACTGCCTTGGTTTGATCTCCAGGGAGGTCCATTCTCCTGGGCATTTTCGACATAAGGGGTTGGTTAAGAAGCCATGGTCTAGCTATAATGGAGTGTCCACCGAACATCCTGATGTAGAACACTCCTGATGATATTGAAAAATATTGACAACATATTATTAAGTGAAAACTCTGTGCAGCAGGATCTTACCTTTGTAAAAGCAGTGTTCTTGCTTGAATAAGTGCTTTGGAGGAAGGGCCTGAAAGGCAAAGGTGCAGGCTGGGTGCTTGGCTCCATCGACTCCTGTGGGTTCTTTGAAGGGTTCACTACTTGCCCTCAGTCTGACCCAAAGGTGTCAGGTCAAAGCATTGTCTCAAACCCCCATCCATCCTCTTCCCCTTCTTCCTTTTGCATTCCCCTCTTTCCCCATTCACTCATTCAGTCAGTCAGTCAGCCAGCCAACAAACACAGACTGATTATCTACACCATGCTAGGCCCTAGGAATAGAAAGAGGAAAAAGATAATGCCCGTGAGGTCAGGGAGTTCACAATATAGTGAAAGAAGAACACCAAATATTCCAGGGCCAAGAAATATGCACACACAAGCCATTCCCTCTGAACTAACAGTTACATCAGTCTGGATTATTATTAGTTTTACTATAATATTTCAAACAAAGAAGTGAAGACACTAACATATCTGACGTCCATGTAGCCAACACCCAGCTCTAAGGAATTCTGATATAATGTTTTCCTGTATGTTTATATTGTGTAATATATATATATCCATTACATGTTTTTAAATTCCATGTGAAATGTATCACATTTTATGTCATTTTACAAAGTGATTTTTTACTCAACATTATGTTTTTGGGGCTAGTTCATGTCTATATATGTAGCATTTTCACTGCTCTGTAGTATTCTACATAAACACTCTACAGTATTTATTCATTCTCTTGTTCATAAATATGCAGATGATTTTGTTTTTCCCTAATATGAAGAATGTCATAATAAATTCTTACAGAAGTCTAAGTCCGGTGTGGAGGCTCATACCTGTAATCCCAGTATTTTGAGAGACTGAGGTGGGAGGATTGCTTGAGGCTTGGAGTTTAAGACCCAGTCTGGGAAACTTAGCAACATACACACACACGCACAAAACAAAAATCTATACGTCTCCCTGTGTACATGTGAGGGTTTCTCTAGAAGTCAGTTCCAGAGTTGAAGAATCTGCAATCTGAGGTTTCTTAGACATTTATAAAATGCTCTTCAAAGTGATAGTACCAATTTATACTCCCACCAGCTGCTGATGAGAGTTACTGCTTAATACCCTTATAAATATCTGGTAGTACCCCTTTTTAAATGCTGACAGTATGAGGGGTATCGCAGGTGGTTTAAATTTTTTATTTCTGTGATTATCAATGAAGTTGCCCGTTCAGATACTCTTTTCTCTTAATTGTTTTTTCATATGCTTTGTATATTTTTCTGTTGTACTATTTATCTCTTTACTGTTTGATTTGTAGGATTTCTTTACAAATTACACTGCATGTAATCTGAATGGAAAATACCTTCTCTTATTCAATTCTCTCTTCGGTTTTGCTTAACATGACTTTTTTGCATAGAAGTTGTTCATTTAAAGCGGGTAAAAACTTACACCTGTAATCCCAGCACTTTGGGAGGCAGAGGTGAGAGGATTGCCCCACCCCAGGGGTTCGAGACCAGCCTGGACAATGTGGCAAGATCTCATCTCTACAATAAATTAAAAAAAAAAAAATTAGCTGGTGGTGCATGACTGTAGTTTCAGCTACTTGGAACACTGAGGTGGAAGGATTGCCTGAGCCCAGCAGGTCAAGGCCATGGTGGCCATGAGCGTGCCACTGCACTCCAGCCTGAGTGACAGTGAGAGTCCTATTCAAACAAAAAGCAAAACAAAACAAAACAAAAATGATTATAGAAGTATGCATGAAGCAAATTGGAAAATTCAAAGTAGTAAAAAGAAAACACAATTTTTTTTAAAAGCAGGTAAAAGGTCATTCATTCCTTTTATGATTTGTTTTGTATTCTGTTAAATCATTACCTGCCCAAAGGTCATAAAGATTTCTCTCTATATATGTTCTAAAAGTTTTAAAGATTGTCTTTTTAGTTATTTATTTTTGAGTATGGAAGTAGGAAACTAATTCTATGTTTTTCCATGTGGATAACCAATTTTCCAAGCATTTGTTTTTTTGTTTTTTGGGGTTTTTTTGAGTCAGAGTCTCACTCCGTCACCCAAGCTGGAATACAGGGCATGCTCACAGCCACCCCAGCAATCTTTTCACCTCAGCCTTCCAAGTAGCCGGAACTACAAAGCCGGTTACCACACCTGGCTAATTTTTTATTTATTGTAGAGATAAGGTCTTGCCAAGTCACCCGGGCTGGTCTCGAACCCGTGGGCAATCCACTCGCCTCAGCCTCCCAAAGTGCTGGGATTACAGGATGAGCCAACCAGCCAGGCCTCATTTGTTATTTTAAAAAGTAATTTATTTCCCTCAATGATTTAAAATCCCAGCTGTTGTATATCTTTTGCATATGTGCGTGGGTCTCTTCCTGGGCCCTCTGTTCTGCGTCACCACCCTACTCTCTAGTTACTATTCCTTTATAATACCACTAAGTCTTGTTATTTTGTAGGTTAAGTCTTCTACCCCTTGTGTTCTTTTCCAAAATTATCTAGCTCTTGGTCTTCCATATGAATTTTAAGATCAGCTTGCCAAGTTCTAACAAAAAAAAACTTCATTGGGATTTCTATTGAAATTTAATTAAATTTTTAGATTATTTTGGAGAAATTTGCATTAAGATATTGAATCTTCTGATCCATGAACATATGTCTCCTCATTTATTTTCAGGTCTTCTTTTTATTATTTGCATAATGCTTTGTAATTTTTCTTCATAAAAATGTTCTGGCTTCTGTTAGATTAATCACTCAGTACCTCATACTTTATCTTGCCATTATTAATGGAATATTTGATCTTTGCTTTTTTCCAATTACATTTTCTTTTTTAGAGATGAGATCTTGCCAAGTTGCCCAGGCTGATCTCGAACCCACAGCCTCAGGCAATCCTCTCACCTCAGCCTCCCAAAGTGCTGGGATTATAGACATGAACCACCGCACCCAGCCTTCAATTATATTTTCTAATTGGTCATTATTGATAAGTAAGAAGACTAGAAATTTTTCTGTGTTGACCTTGTGTCTAGTGATACTGCTGAATTCATTTAATGCTTCCAATAGCTTATCCATACATTATTTTGAATCATCTAGTTGACAAATATAATCTTAAAAAAGAAAACTCTTTCTTTCCAATTTGTACACCCTTTTTTCCTTATATTATTGCATAGGCTAGGTTCTCCAATGCAGAAAGGAAGTGATGAGAGCAGCTATCTTTGTCTTACTCCTGAGTTTAAAAGAATGTTTCTGAAATTGTGTCATGGAGTTTGTTGGTGATTACTAGTGGATAACTTTTATCATATTAAAAAACCTCCTTCTATTCCCAATTTGGGAAGCTTTACCATGAATGAATGTAAAAATCAAGTGCTTTTTCTGCATCTATTAAGATATACTTTCTCCTTTAAAGTCTTAATATGGTATTTTCACATTAATAAGCTTTCCTAAGTTAAACATTCTTACATTTTGATATTAAACTCTAATAATAGACTACTTATTTCATTTTGCAAGCATTTTTTATTTATAACTTTTGTATCTAGGTTCATATGTGAGTGTATCAGTTCTCTGTCACTTCATAACTATCCCAAACTAACTGGTTAAAACAACAATAAACAGGTAGAAGTTGCAATGTCTTTCATCACTTCACCTCAGATGTCACATACTATTATTTTTTGCAACATCCTATTAGTTACACAGATCAACTCTATTCAGTGTGGAAGGGGATGATGCAAGGTCATGAGTACCAAGAGGTGAGGATCACTGAGGGGCATGCCAGAAATTGGCTACCATACAAGTCCTGTCGAATTATTTGACTTTTAAAAATATGTGTATGTACATCTTTAATAAAAATGATGGGCCAGGCACAGTGGCTCACACCTGCAATCCCAGCACTTTGGTGGGAGGATCACTTGAGGCCAACAGTTCAAGACCAGTATGGGCAACATAGGGAGACCCTGTCTCAACAAAAAATATTAAACAAATAAGAGAATTTCTTTTCTGAGTCTGTGCCACCATACCCTAGCTAATTTTTAAAATTTTTTTCAGAGATGAGGTCTTGCTATGCTGTCTAGGCTGGTCTCGAACTCCTGGACTCAAGCACTCCTCCCACCTCAGTCTCTCAAAGTACTGGGATTACAGGTATGAGCCACTGAGCCCAGTCAAAAATAAGAATTTTTAAAAGAATTATTGCCATAGTCAGGGCTTATTTAGATTTATCAACATATTTTATCCATTTCTATGCTCAACATTGTTTCTTATAGACTTCTCTTTATTCTTGCTAATTTTTCTTCATGAAATACATCCTATAATAATTACTTCAATGAGGATCTACACTTTTTATGTATGGAAATGCCCTTTTTTGTCTTAAATTTTAACTACAAGTTAGCTGGGTATAAAAGTCTAGTTGGGGCTGGGCGTGGTGGCTCACACCTGTAATCTCAGCACTTTGGGAGGCAGAGGCAAGAGGATTGCCTGAACCCATGGATTCAACCAGCCTGGGCAACTTGGTGTGACCTAGTTAGCCAGGCGTGGTGGCGCATGCTTATGGTTCCAGCTACTTGAAAGGCTGAGGTGGAAGGATCACCTGAGACCAGCAGGTTGAGGCTGCGGTAGCTGTGAGTGTGCCACTGCACTCCAGCCTTTGGCAACAGAGTGAGACTGACTTCAAAAACAGTCTAGTGGGGCCAGACACAATGGTTCACACCTATAATCCCAGCACATTGGGAGGCCAAGATAGGAGGATTGCTTGGGCCCAGGTAGGAGGATTGCTTGGGCCCAGGTAGGAGGATTGCTTGGGCCCAGGTCTCACATAGTGAGACCTCATCTCTACAAGACATTTTTTAAAAAAATTAGCTGGGCAAAGTGTTGCACACCTGTTGACCCAGCTATTCAGGAGGCTGAGCAGAAGATCACCTGAGCCCATGATCAGATCACTGCA